CACCCAGCCCCGCTCAGCCCCTCTCCTTCTCCTCTCAGGTGCTGCCAACCCAAGTTCTCACAAGGTGCATCGAGGAAATGCCAAGAAACCAAACCCACAAACCCAGAACCAGAGAGGCCACCGCTTGGCTCAGTATCCCAAAACGCGCCTCCATCAGGATCCCACTCTGGCTGTTCAGGGACTTTAGCCGTGTAGGAGGCAGAGGAGGTGCTGGCCGACCTTTCGTGGTTATAAACCCCTTATCCATCACAGGCGATCTCAGAAGCCTGTCCCTCAAAGGTGATGCATGGCGCCCGCCGGGTGGGGAATCCCTGGGGAGCATCAGGACCAGTGGGGGAAGGGTGGGGACCAGCAAAGCCAAGTGGAAAAAGAGGAATGTTGGAGACTGAGATAGTTTTACAGACACTGAATTAAGGTGTTTTGATGTACATACTCTGGCTAAGAAAAAAAGCCGGGTGCAACAACCCCATGAAACCCTGGTGGGGTGAAAATAAACCTGGAGTAGAACAGCCCCTTTGGCGGGATGAACACGCCAGGTGCACAGGGCCCTTATGATTCCAGGGTTGTTTTTAAAAACATTTTATTATGGAAGTTTTCAAATATAAAACAAAAGTAGAGGGAGTGCTATAATGAACCCCCGTGCCCAGCCCCATTCAGCAGTGATTTGCCTCTGGCCAAATTCTATTCTTTTTATTTTTCCTATTTATTTTCGTTGCCATGTCTTAAAGCAAATGCAGACATCACTTCATTTCACCAGTAAATACATAAATCATAAATGCATTTTAACTCCTAAAAATAGCAATTTGGCTATAAATCACAACTCCCAATACATCCACAGCCTGGTCTAACACTCAGAAGCTGGGACTTTGATGGTGAAATTACAACTCTTTTCTGTTTGACTTTACTGCAATCCAGATAGTAACAAGCACTGTGACTTTTATACTTTACACACACACACACACACACACACACAAATGAACAAACACAGAGGCCAAGGCCTGCAGAAGCCAGCAGAGGCGGGGCAGCAGCTGCTGCCAGGCTGTGCGTGAGAGGTGCAAGCTGAACCACCCTGCAGGTCTCCCTCTTCCCTCTGCCCCTTGGTCCCATTGCCAGTTGGAGTTGGGAGCTCAGCACTGTGAGCACAGGGTAGCCCGCTCTGCAGTCTCACCACAACACTGACCCAGGCACCCAGCAGTACTCCTGGCTCAGACTGAGCAGGGAGGACCTCAGTTTCCAGCAGGCACACAGCTTGGTGGATGTCTGCTCTGGCCACCAAAGGGATGATGTGGCAGGGGGAATCATCCAGAAGACTGGAACAGGCAGGAAGGGACAGCAGGATTTGGCAGGATAGGAGACGTTTCAGGGAGTGGAGGGGAGCCCAGAGGGGGTCAAGGCTTTGGCCAGGCAGTGGTCTCCATGGAGGCATCCCTGCCCAGAATCCATGCTTCTCAAACATCTTTCTTTCCGGAGTTGTGAGGTGGAAGCCACAGGGCCTGGTAGCAAACACCTGTAATCCCCGTGACGTGGGAGACTGAGGCAGGAAGATCACAAGTTCCAGGCCAATTTAGCTTAGTGAGACCCTGTGTCAAAATAAAAAATATAAAGGCTGGGGATGTAGTTCAGTAGTAAAGTGCCCCTGGGTTCAATCCCCAGCACCAAAAGCAGGGTGGGGGGGTGTTAGAAAGCTGGGTGAAGTTAGAAAGCCAAGAAGGACACTTGGGAGCCACCCACAGCACAAACAGCGAGGGAACCCGGCCACTCTCTTCCCTCTCAGAGCTCACCTGGCCAGTGCCCAGCTCTTTGGCCTCGACCCAGCCGAGGCGCCCTCTGAGTGGGCTCTGAGCCAAGGCCCTGGCAGATATCCCCAGCAGCCCTGCGGGGCACCTCCACCTGAAGGAGAGGGCCTCAAGTTTAAGAGCACCGGAAGGCCATTAAGGCCCTCCCAGCAACAGAGCTGGGGGCCTGTGCACACCAAGGCCACTGTGGGGAGGGAGGTGGGGTCACCAGTTAGAAGGCAGGCAGTTCCCTAGTCCCACTCAGGTGCTCTCTGGCTGTGAATGAGGCAGGAAGGAGTGAGCCCTGGGTGCCGTGTGCTCTCAGTACAGGGCCCGGGGAGGCCAGGGGTGAAGTGGGCAGGGGTGATGACCACCTGGGGAACTGGGCAGGCCTAAGTCTGCCGCCCTCCCCCCTCCTGGAGGCTGAACTGGGCTTGGAATTTTTCCAGCTCTAACTCCATAAATGCCCTGCCTGAGAACAAGGTGCCGTGCTCAGACAACCCAGCTTCCAAGTGCACACGGCCTTAGCCGTCCTTCCTGGCTCTCCTGGTAAATAACCCACCTGCAGATGTCTGAGTGCCTGCTCTGGGAGGGGAACATATTTCCCCCCATTCTCTCAGGTCATTGTTGTCAGCTCCTGTGTACCTAAGGACAGAGCCCCCCCCCAGGGTGGATCCTGCCACCAATCCCATCAGCAGTGGGGGTCCTGGAGCTGGAGGGGGCAGTCTGCATGGTGCTGGTGTGAGGGACCGTTTGTCTCCCTCTCCAATCACCGTGGCCCAGCAGTCCAAGCTACAGACCGCAGTCTTCATTCTGCACCATAAATGTGATGGGGAAACGGGCCTGGAGAGGATCAGGGGTTGCCAGTAGGACCGGTTCTGGCAAAAGCCAGGGCAGGAGTGGGGCAAATCCTGTTTGCCCCAAATGGGTTCAGAGGCTCTGCAGCAGAGCCCTGGGCATCCCGGGGAGCTGCAGTTCGGCCTCACTTACGGAGAGGGTGAGGCTGATGGGTGGAACCCACTGGGGAGGGCGGGGCGTGCGGTGGAGACGGATCGAAGCCATTCATCTTCTGCCAGCCGCGGAGCCATCGCGGCGAGGTGCGCCCGCGATCGATGGCGCTGGAACTCAGGGCTCCGAGGGGCCAGGCGCACCCCAGGCTGGTCCCGCGCCCCCCAGGGCTTCGTGGGCTTCGTGTTGAGCCGTCAGGTCTCTGGTTTGTGCCATCCCTGGTGCGATGCCTCGTGCATGACGACAAGGCACATCTAGTGGCTGGCCCAGCTTCGGATCCGTTCGCTCCATCGCGGCGCTTCGTTCCAGCGCGGCGACACCGGCCCTCTCGCGGCGTCGCAGTCTTTCCTTGGGCCTCCTGGCTCCTCCAGCCCAGGAACTGCTCTACAGACAGACTTACTAACTCTGCGGGGAATCGCCGCTCCTGATTCAGAGTCCATAGTGCGTTGAGCGACAACGCAGGCCCTGCCTGCGCCTCCTCCTTAGTTCCCAGCGGCTACCGCCTGCCTGCAGAGCCCTCACCTTCCTGCGCCTGTGGCCCCTGCCTCAAGTGGCTGCCCCTACGTCCTTAAGCCTGCCTGTGTGGGGTGTCACAGAAAAGATCTGCCCCAGGACCTGCCATCAACGACCCCCCCCATACTCAGGAGCTCCCTGAGGTCACCGTGGGACCTCAGGACCTCACACCCGAGAGACAGTGAATGAAATGGCTGCAAGGCAGCGATATCCCTTCATCTGGCTTTAGATGTCTCATTCTAAAAGGCACAGGAGCCGTCTCAGTGGTCTGAGATTCCCAGAGACCTTGGCTGGAGAACAGCACGGATCCGCAACGGGCTGCTGGCCCCAGTGCTTGGAGGGTAAGGGGCAGAGACATGCATTGGCCATGGCCTGCTGCTGGGGAACTGCTGGACTCAGGGCATGGCTGCCAGAAGCTGTGCAGGTCCATGGAGGACTGGCAGAGATGTGGCCATGACTGGATGAGACCAGAAAAGAACAAGAGAGTCCAAAGCCAGGGACACCAAGCCTAAAGAGGGAACAGCGGGGAAGGGGGAGGGAGGAGAGGTGGGTCTGACATTTGCCTGTGGATATCCCTCTACCCTCTATGGCCATGGACCAGGATTAAGGCCTTTGAAAGTAAAATCGTTTCACTGAAGTGTACCACAAATCTTCCGCCCCACCAAAGCCCAGTGAAAACAGTTTTTTGTTTCGTTTTCTTTTTCCCATTTTGTGGCACTGAAGATTGAACCCAGGGCCCCAGCGTTTAATGCTAGGCAAGCAGGCGCTCCCCACTGTTCAGGGCAGTTCCCACACTGCGAGGGTTCCCAGATTCCAGGCTTGGAGGGGCTGAAGGTGTGGGTGCAAGGCCGGGTCCCGCAGCACCAGCTCCCAAGGCTCCTGGGCCTCTGAGCTCTGTGGACTAGGCTGGGGCAGGGACACATGCACATAGATGGACGGTGCCCTTCCTGTGGCTCCTTCTCTTAGGCCTTCTGGTGCCACCTCCAGCACCCCAGACCCAGAGTATGGCCCCCAGTTGCTGCACACCTCAGCTATGGAGGGGCTGCTCCAAAGTGAGGCAGAGAGGGACACCAGTTTTCTAGGGGGCCCTGTTCAGCAAAGAAGTGACCTTCTCAAGCCCTGAGAGACTTGCTGCTTTGGGCTCAATCACACAGAATGAAGGGTCCCTTGTCCATACATGGCAGAGCCCCCACCTTCGCCCCAAAGCAAGCTGCCTTGGGTTGATGGAGATGGGCAACCCCAGCAACACAGACCATCAGAACAGCTTTAGTTAAGAGCCCGTAACTGGGCCCTGAGCCCCTGTGCTGGAGGCTGCAGAGAAGGGACCCTGGCAGGAGTGGGCGCGCTCACCTCACCCTCAGGGAGTGCGAATGTTTTGTTTGGGCCCAAAGAAAAATTCAACAGGACTCAGAACCCCAAGTGCCTGGAGGAGGAAAGCGGAGGCTGCAAGCCTCCTTCCTGCCTCCCCTGCCTCCTGGGAACCACACTGCTTTCCCTGCCCCCCCTTCCTGGGCCACCAAGGCTATCACCCCCGAGGCAGAGCTGGGAATTAGGGAACAAACCCCACTGCCACCATCTCCTGCCCACTTCACCAGGCCCAGGCTCCCAGTTCCCTGGTCAGTGTGGGGAAGTAGGGAGAGAGGGCCTCCACAGAGCCTGCTACCCGAGGAGGGCCCTGCCCGGGGTCACAAAGCAGTGAAACCATCCAGAAAACGTCCCTTTTTATTCCATACGCAATAAGTAAATTGATTTAAAAAAAATCTTCACCAGGAAAACAGAGGCTGCAGTCCAGGAGGGAAGACCCAGCCGGCCTGTCTTCTAGGAAAGGAGGGTCAGTTCCTGCAAGGGGAGTCCTTGCTGCCCGGGGACTGCCCTCTGGGTCCTGCTTTGTCCCAGGAAAGCACATTTTGCGTTGGGGCAGTGTGCCTGGGGACAGTCACCTCGAAGCCCCTGGGACAGCCTGCTGGAAGTTTTCTGTTGCTGCTGCGGGCCCTAAAGGCAGGAGCCCCGCTTGGCAGAGACAGGCCTGGCCCCAGCCTGTGGCTTACTGTCTTCCTATGGCCCCTCTCCGCGGGGTCCAGCCTTGTAGCTGTTTGGGGAGCGGCCCTGGTACATTCTGGAGGGGCTCCGAACAGCGGCTGGGGCACTGAGGTACAGAGGCGGCCCTAGGAGGCCACCCGCCCCGATCGAACCGCTCGAACCACGCCCTGCACCCACCGCCACCTTCACTGCCGGTCCACAGGGGTCTGCAGCAACCTGGGGAGGATGCTGGCCAGCTGCGGGCTCACAGAGGCTCACACCAGGCCCGGCATCTGCGCCCGCAGAAAGGGCACGGAGGCAGCGGTGGGGAAGGCGGCCAGCGGGTAGGCTAGGGCCCCGGAGAAGCCGAGCAGCGGCGGGGGCGGCGCGGGCGCCGGGGGAGCCAGCGGGAAGGGCAGCGCAGCCGGGGGCCCGGCGCCGGCCGAGGCCGAGGGGCTTTCGTGGTAGAGCACCGGCACGCGGACCAGGCGCTGCGCGCCGGGCGGGGACAGGCTGGCGGCCTCCAGCTCGGCGGCCAGCTGCCGCTTCCACTTGTTGCGACGGTTCTGGAACCAGATCTTAACCTGGGTCTCGGTGAGCTGCAGCGAGGCGGCGAGGCCGGCGCGCTCCGCGCTGCTCAGGTAGCGCTTCAGGTCGAAGGTGGACTCCAGCTGGAAGACCTGGCTGCGCGAGAAGACCGTGCGCGTCTTCTTCTTGCGACCCCCGACGCCGCCGCGCGCCTCCGCGGCCGCCGAGGGGGCCGGAGCCTCGGCCAGCTCCGCGGCCTCCTCCCCGCCAGCCACTGGGCCCTGTGCCGCCAGCTCCACTGCCTCCCGAGGCACCGCTCCCGGCCCGGGGCCCCGCGGCCAGGCGCCCTCCGCGCGCCCCATCTCCTCGCCCGTCTCCGGTGAGTCCCGGTCACTGGCTGCAGGGGAGAGAGGTGCATAATGTTGTGTTCCGGGCGGCCTCCACCTTGAGGTCATCCACCCCTCAAGCTGGAAAACATGGCACATTAGGGCCCTGGCATCCAGAACTGGAGGTTCGGGGTAGGAATAAGGAGGGAGGCAGAAGAGGAGGAGGTGGACCTGAAAAGCCAAGATCTGTGGCAAGCCAACACCGGCGGTGACATTCTCACTCAGAAATGCACACCCACGCCCAGAGGACAGAGAAAGAAGGGAAGGGAGAGAAAAGAAAATGCAAAGGCACAAAAGGCAGGCGAGCCCTCTGACTACTCCCCCTGGCTGCACTGCCTGCCCTGGGGAAAGGCACAAAAGACCCACAGGAACCCCTGGGACCAGAGGAAGTACATCCTTCCCAGAAAGAGGAAAACAAGCACAGAGCCACCCTTGCACACCCGCCCAGCCCGGCCCGCAGAGCCTCCCAGCACAGGAATAAAGGCCTGCACTCAGGAGCAGATGCACAAGGCTGTCTGCTGTCTGCGTGCATGGAAACATCCGCCAGAAGAAGGCAGCCAATCCTCAAAAGTAAAATGCAGCTAAGTGACATGGGCATCCCCCCCAATACTTTGGACCCGTGACCCAGATGCCCACAGAAGCATGCCTTGTCCAGCCACAATCCCACTCAAAGGGAGCACCAGGAAACCAGCAGTCCCACCCAGAACCAAACACCTTCTGTGCTGGAGGTTCAGCCTGCAGGTTTGGGGTACGGTACAAAGCCCACAGGGACTGCTGAGTCCATGCTCTGAAGAGGGCAGCACCGCACACTGCAGGGACTAGCCTGCCCCTCACTGAAGCCTCCACACCAAAGGGCAGGTCCTGGTTGACAGATCGGAGGTTGAGAAGGAGTTTGGCTGGCCCTTGAAACCAAGGACTCAGATAGACAAGGGGTGTGCCCCAGTGTGAGCTCTCCGCATGCCTGTGTGAACAGTGCAGACCTCAGTGGGCTGGTGTGATGGCTTGGCATGGTGTTCTTCCAGCCCTGCGGATCTCGCTTCTGCCCCTACCCAACCCCCACAATATGTTTCATCTTGGTTCCCATGGAGAAATCAGGTTGCAGTTGTTCCGATCACTAGATCTGGGCAATCCCTACCTCCCCACAACACCCAGCCCTCCAGATGAACAGAGGTACACACATTTCCCCAGGCATTAAGCAGGCTTGCCTGTTCTGGGGTGAAACTGGGACCCTAACCCGCATTGTACGAAATAAGGAGCTATCAGAAGAAGCCGCCTCTGTGGGGACTCCTGCTTAGGCTGCAGGTGAGGATGGGCCCAGGGCAGGGGGAGGACAAATATTACCCTGCAAGATCCTTTTCAGAATCGCCCCCGAGGAGCACTAAATTGAATCACCAGATTTCAAGCAAACCACCAGAAGCACTGCTCAAATTTACATTAAGAGGGTGGGGGTGTCTGGGTATTTTGGGCTCTGAAATGTGGGTCTTTTTGCCAGGGGGTCACTCCCAAACCAAGAAGGGGATTATTCAAACAGGGAGAGGGGCTGCTTACTCCCCGAGAACACACAGGCATGCACACAGATACCAAATGGATTCCAGAGCCCTGAGCCTGGAAAAGAGTTTGGAAGAGGGGCTGGCAAAGTGGGGCTGGGAGTTAAAACGGCTTTCTCGATCCTTCTTCCAGGGCTCTCCCTCCAAAGGGTAGGCTCATAGGGGTGGCAGCAACCCTGGCAGAGGGGGCAGAATGCCCAGGCAGTTAGTTCTGGTGCTGAGAACCCCCTGCCTCGTCTCTGAGGTCTCACCAGGAAACAAAGGCTGGGCTGGTGAGGGAGGCAGAGAGGATGCAAGGGGGTTGGACTAGGGGCTTCAGAGCAGCTCCCCCCACCCCGTTTGCCTGGCACAGCTCTGGGACCCAGGAGGGCCCTGGGAGAGGACTAGGCCCTACCCCCGTCTCCATTTAAAGCTGGCACTAAGGAAACGGGACTCTGGGAGACACTGCTACTGTGGAAGAAGCTCCCTCCATTCAGCCCATCCCACAGAGTGGAGGAAAAGAGGAATGTGGGGCGAAAGAGGGGGAGAGGCCCTGGCAACACAGCACCTTCTGCTCAGCGCCCCTGTTATTTTTTCAGGGGATCCAACTTTGCTGGCCCTCCCTCTTTCCTCCCTGCATCAGCTCACTTTCCTCTCACGGGTGGACACATATACAATATACACACACATGTGTCCATGCTATAGATTTTTTGGCGGTCTCCCATTTTCCTCTTACCACATTTCTCCTTCTTCCTCCTTCCATTTTCTTTTCTCCCACCCCTCTCTCCCTTCTCCTATCTTTCCCTGTGTGATTTCATTCTCTCTCTCCTCCAGCAGTCTGTAGTTCCGGATAGGGGACCCCTCTGGTCAGTTCCCTGCCTCCTTAGACCAGGCCATGGCTGCAGCTCCATCTCTGACCCCTGCTCAGGAAAGAGAGCTTCCAAACTCGCCCAGCAAGGGGCTCCGTGGGACCCCACACCACCCAGACTTTATTACAAATAAGGGAGGGGGGAGCACAAAGGGCGGCAACCAGCCCGAAGTCTCCAAACGAATGCGGAGGGGAAGCCAAGCCCCACCGCCTGGTCCACCCCTCTGGGCGCCTTCACTCACTGTCGGGACTGAG